TATCTGCTTTTTGCAGTTCCTTTTACACATCCTCTGGATTTTTCTGTTCAGTGGCAGAACACGGGGAAAATGTTTCTTCCACCCAGAAGCAGACACAAGCTTCTGACATAAGATGGGGCTGCAGCCTCCTCTTTTAATGAAAAGACAGGATCCAATTTTATATTTAATTGCAGGTGCACAAGCTGGGAACCCTCTGTGCTTCAGTCCTGACAGGATTTCTGGCACATCCATTATCTTGGATCAGATACCCTGCCACTCATTATTCCCAGGGCTGCAAAGCTGCAGCTCCAGGAGCCATCCCTGAACATCTCCACTTCCCACTGATGCTCTCCTGACTGACAACTCTCCACACCATTCCTCTCCCTCACACAGGAAACACTCCAAAGTTTGCTGCAAGCAAGAGGGAGTTGTTGAAAAAAAGCAAGCTGGGAAGGAGGAAATGATTGGCTGCTGAAGTGTGAAAGATTTTTGCCATAAAACAATAAAGGTGTCATTTTCAAATAACAAACTGGTATCTCAGAATATATTATAAATGCTATCAAAGACTACTAGAAATAAAAAAAATAGTTTTTCAAGTGTCAGCAATGAATGCAAGTCATTCACACAGCTTTTCCTCCTAACTTCTCCCTACAGTTTTATTTTAAAAACCTCAGAAAACCTTCTTGTCTCAACATTTTAGGAGTAGGAATTAATTAGAGCACAATAAAGCACCAAACCTAAGTTGAGCTCAGCTCCATTTATTTCATACCAGATACAACAACCCTGCAAGCCAACAATTCAGAAGCAAGTTTTGGAAAGTAAGACAAGGCCTATTTGTAAACAATTATTAAACACAGCCTAATTATGTAATTGTTTCCACAGTTCTCAGGAATGCAATCTGTCTTCCCAGACCTTTTTCCTCAAACTGTATCAAGCACTAAGAAGTTCTCAGTGTCCTCTTTTGAGCTAAACAAACCACACCAAAATGCTCTCAGAGCCCAGTTTTTAATGACAGAACGATTCAGGCTCAGTGATTTTTCTGTTTCCTTGTGATTAAAATATTCTGTTGCACCACCCAGAACTCGAGGAGTTTGGGAGATGCTGTTTTTCCTAATCCTGACACACAAGGCAAAGAGCCAAAAAGCTGCCTCCTCCAGGCTCCAGAAGGTCAAACAAGAATAACTGGGATAAATGCAGCCAAGATTCAGCCCTGAAATTTGAAAGTAGAAGATGTCAATCATATTATAGTAACCAGAAAAAACCTCCCATTGCATGTCTTCAGCAGGTACAGGGGCCTCACCTTTCCTCCCCAAACATCCTGATTAAGGCACTGGACACTCCAGTTCCCAGTGCTGCAGAATCCTGGATCTGAAATCCAGCAAAGCAAATTCCTGGATACTTTAGCAGGGCTGCTCTGCTTCATGTTGGCAGCAGTGCCTGCAGTATCAGCCACTTCTCACTCTCCCTCATTCCCTTATTTGACTTTGCTGGCCCCAGCTGAGATATGGGGAATCACAGCTTGTCTACCCAGTCCTCACTCTCACACATATCCCCAGGTTCAAGAAAACTCACAATTATTACTGCTATTCCTCTACAGAATAAGAATAAAACATGCCTGTTATGGAAATAACCTGTTTAGCATTAATTAATATACAGGCAGTAACCAGTAGATCGATGTTTTCTCCTTCTAACACATCTAGGAGCTTGAAAATATTTTTTTTTGGCTAGACAGAGAGGAATCTTTTGTGTTTAAAAATAGCCCAAAAAGAAAAATACTCTGATTCCTCAGCACCAAGTGCTTAAGGCTGTTTACAAGTGATTGATAAAGCCCAGCAACCCAGCAGGACACCATTCTGTTATTTCCAAGCATTTAAAAACCAAAACTCTTTCAGAAGCAGCTTTTTTTTTTGGTGCATTCTCTTCATCCAGCTTTTACAATCCCTTGTCATCACTTGTGCCAGACACTTGGAGAGCAGTGGCACGGATTCAAAAAAGAGCAGCCACATAAATGTAGGTGCTCAAAGTGAAATTTTGGCTGTGAAGGACCAGCACATGCTCACAGGGCTGTTTAGTATCTTTAGTGGGGGATTTTCAAGACTTACTCTGTGCCTCTATTCCATAGTCCTTTCTAGACCATATAACAACTGACAGTATAAAATATTGCCCAAAACAGGTGTTATTTCAACTATTCAAAATTCCTTCAAACACTATCCAAGTGCAACTCTCCACTTTAAACTTTACACTCCACTAATTAGTATAAATCTCCAAATTCTGATCTTTTAATAGTTACATTTCAAGGTTTCCTCCTCCCAAGTGTTACTTTAACACTGGTAGACAAATATCCATATTTAAACTATATTGTAACAAATACATTTTTTTCTCTGCTTATTTTCTCAATAACTTCTTAAAAACAAACAGAAAGAACTACATCTTAAGAATGAATAAATAAGTCATCATTATTATTACCATACAGTGTTCTTATACCCCACAGATGAGGGTAAAAAGCCAAATAATTTCCATGGAGAAGGAAAAGAGCTAATAACACACTTTTCAGCACTTACCATAAACATAATTTTCCTTCTAGTAATGGAGAAAAGCAGCAGATTTCAGAGAACATAATGGAAAGCAATTTTCAAATCTGTTTTTAAATAGGAGTGATGTACACAGATACTTTCATTTGCAGTCACTCCGTGTAAAAAAGCAGATCCCACTTCCCTAAAGGATCCACTTCCCCAGCTCATCTCAGTTGTACTTGGCCACACAAAGGCCAGTAACGTTCCCAGTGGGTGCAGTGGAAGTGCAAAACATTTGTCTCCTCTGTCCCAGGTTCACAGTTAAAGCAAAGGATGGATTTTTGGAATCATGTCTTTGTGAAACCACCTGAAAGGGATATTCCCTCCCATCTGCTTTCAGATTTAACCAGGGATCTCACTGAATAAAAAGGGAATTCCCAAAGACCATCCCTGTTGCCAGTGAAGAAAAAAGTGGAACAGGAGTTCATGTAGCTGCAGGAAGAGCTGGAGGCCAGGTGCAACTAAAACTAGTTCTAACCCACCCAAAACAGTCAGTTATAGATGGGTGAAGTGGTAGAGAAGGGCAACAAAAGTAAAAGTGGCAGGAAAAATACATCTCAATGGCTACAGAAAAAGTTTTTTAAATCCAGAATTGATCTGTGAACATGCACAGTTCAAAAATGAAAGGACCAGTTTCAAGTTTTCTCACCCAATTTCTGTTTCAGTTGTACCAGTGATTGCTGCAAGTGTTTGGAGAAAGAAAAAAAAAATCACACAACCTGAATAAAATGGCTCTGCATGGGTACTCACCAAGGAGCAATCAGAGTACAGGGACAGATCTCTTCAAATAAGGAGAGCAGATAATTCAAAACACACACTCCTGGCTGGAACAGAAACAGGACAAGAAACACGAGGATGAGCAAACACAGGAGGGAACGGGTTTTGTTCGAAGTTTGGGTTTCTACAACGACCTTGGCTGCTGGGTGGTTTAGTTGCAGTGGCAAAATAAAAACAAAACAGGAAATTCCGCAGTTGTCGGAATCAAAAATTGGACAGGAAGGGAAATGACAGAAAATTGAATGATTTTGACAGAAATTCAAGCAGAAAAATTGAGTCTAGTTGATGTTTTTGTGATTTCCTTTTAAAAATTCTCTTTGAGAGATTTTTCTTATTGCCATTTTATTTCAACAGTTTGTTGGGGCAACATCTTGCATTTATATATTTTGGCATAACGCTCAGGCTTTTTATCACTTCAGAGCAGTTGCTGATACTGTGTTAGTAGTTGTGTTTCAGCATTTGGTGACTTAAAACCTTCCAAATCCCAGTGAATTCCATCCACACAGAATCAGTGGCAGCATCCACCAACCTGAATTATTAACCTGAATGATTAATTTTATTTTGTGATCATGCTGATGATAATAAGCCAGCAGAGGCACTGAAAAACATCAAAGTAAAAGTAATCATCTCTGAATAATGAGGCCTCTTCCCATCACCAACTGTTGATGTTTCCTTGGGGACTGGGCAGGTGGGAGCCTAATTTGGTTGCATTTTTTGTGTGCACTGAGAGCACTCAGTGACTTCAAAGAGGAACAGCAGGACCTAAAACAGGGAGCACAGGAGGATCAATACCTGTGGAAAGCAGTGCTGGTGGATTTAAATGTAACAGGCAACAATGCAGCAGAATATTTGATGGCTGGCAAGGGAAAAATATGACTAAGAAAATGTCCTTTAAGCACAAGCCTGAAGAACGTGATGAACATCTGCCTTGTTTTCCAGGTCTTAACACTTACCACAGGGTTGGCTTCACATGCAATACATCCAAAAATGCTGTTCAGTGTGAGCTTTACAAGAAATAAATTCCATGATTGTTCCTTTTTGAGCAGAGTGACCCCGGCACCAGGGGAATTGTGGGGGTTTTTTTTATCCCTGCCAATGAGACAGACAAGAGAAAACAAAAAAACCTGTTTCTCTGTATGCAAAAGAGGAGCAGGTAGATCTAAAACGTGGCAAAACCCACAAAGGCTTATCTGCAGCTAAAACATGAGATGAAGTTAAAGAGGGAAAAAAATAAGTAGAAATGGGAATGTTCCTGTTTGAGGGAGCCCTGGTGCCTCTGGTTTTCACCTGGCAGCTCCAGCTGTGCACAGCAATCACACACTCTCTGCTCACAGCCCGGCCCCATTGTCTCGGGAGGCTTTTGTTTAGTCTGTGGTACGTGGCTGTGTTTTAAAATAATAATAAAAGAGACCTCTGCGTTATCAGAACTCGCGCCAAAGCAACTACAAAGAATTTTGATGGCTCTTTTATTCACACGGGGCTTTAATCTGCAACAATTACCTTCCTCCAGCCTGTGTGTGTTCCCTCTTTGTCACTGACAGGGAATATAAAAGCCAGGATAACTGAGATTTTGGCTACAAGCCGCTTGGATACAACCTTTTCACTGCAATGTTTAAAGCATTGGCTGCTCCTGAGGTTCAATCCTCAGTCCCTCACTTGGGCAAAATGCTCATGGATCTGGAATTTTTTTCCCCAATGGATTGATTGGCCTAGGAAAGCAAGGCTGCTCCCTGGATTTCCTAGGCAACGTGATCATATGGAGCTGACTCCACACACACCTTCAGGAGATCAACCAAAAATAGGGAGAATTAGTTTTTATTTCTGTATTTCTTTCACACTTCAAGATCCAGGAATATCAGGGACAATGTAAAGCATCTGGAGCAGACCTACCATGCTTCAAATAACACAGGATTATTTGCAAAAATATTTTTCCTATAAAAGAAGTCCCTGTGTTTGTGCCCACCACTGGACTCACTGCTAGAATTATTCTTTAAACAAGGTGTCACTGCATTTACTGTGTTGGTGGTAACTTCTCAGGGTTTTAAGTTCTTACTAGTTTCCAATTGCATAAATAAATTAACATGAAAGGAACTGCAGCTTTAAGGTGAACTCTTAATATTTTAGGCTAATAACAATGAAACCCCTCACAAATTTGGTAATATTTACCAAGACTTACCATCTCTGGCCACACTACAATTCATCAAAACTCTGTAATTAATCATCTTGATGGAGATGAATCTGGCAAATGTGTGAACTGTCAGACACACCCACAGACACCCGAAAGGGAAGTTCTGCAGGTATTTTCTTTACTCCTATAAACAATCTTTCATTTCAGGTGTTTAACTTCTTGCTAAACACCTGTAAATGTAAGATAGTGCAATAATGGAGCAGTGAGCAAATTGTAAATCAGAGCCTTCAGTTTTCCTCATCAGCAGTGAGCTGTCTTGTTTAAGTAATGGCAAACATAAAAGGTCACATCCTAAAAAAAATCTGTCAAAAATTTAAATTAAAGAAACATGATCTCTACAGTGAATAAAATGAGCTGTCATCATTCTAAACATAACTCAGGTTCACATTTATCACAGCCAGATTTCATTTTTTTTCCCTGCAAATAATTTATTTTGGTGCTTAGAAACTCCAAATGCTGTTAAATAAAGGCAGGGAGTCTCCCTGCACGGCATCCTAAACAAATTTGAGAGCTCCTCCACGATCTAAAGCTGTTTTCTTGTCAGTCTTGATAAAAAGAGCAGGGCTAGAGAGTGGTACTCAAATTACAAACATAGTATGTGCTTCCTCCTCAGGATCCTGGAGACCAGGGGAAGTAAACACTGAATTACTGAGCTGAAAGTGAGACAAGTTCTAACAGCCTCCAGCTCTTCAGTTAAAGAGGGAGAGTCAATGGTATAAAGCACTTGAATCCACCACTTTCAGCAGGGCTTGTTTTATGTGGCACAAAGAGACTTGGATGTGGGAAAACATCCTAAATATGAAGTGGTTCTGAAAACTCTGAGGTGCCTCTCTGTGCTTAAACACATCTCAAAGTGTGACCAGTGAACGCCACTTTTACTTGGGCCTGGGACAAAAATCAAAGAGGAGGAAAAAAAGGTTCTTTTTAAAGAAGGGATGTCAAGGTTTGAACTCTGAAATAGGGTCCCACTATGGCCAGTGTGAGATCCCACACTCACCAGACTTTAAAACAGTCCCCCAATTCTAAATTGCAGCATTAAAGTTTAGTACACTCCACTATGTATTGATATACTTTTTTTTTTGCAAACATAATAAATTAAATCTCTGGTTAGTATTTTTTTCATGGAGAAACAAGGATGCTCAGCACCTAAGTGAGGAACTCTTGTACCTCATAACCTCATATCACATAATAGAAGGACCCAACCTCCAAGTGACCATTTAAACAAATATCCTTGCTTAGGGGTGCAGTCTCTGGAACACCAGTGGAATTTCTTGTGTGAATATGTCCCTTTAACTGGTGTTTAACTAAAAGATATTAGAAATGGGAAATATTAAAACATTCAAATGCAGTTCTGGTCACAGTAAGAAGTGCTGAATTGGAAAAAACACACTGACTCCAAGTGTATTCTTCAGAGCGGTGCCCTGCATGTACTGATCACAAATATGCACCACTGGGTGTGACTGCTCATAATTCTTTTGTTTTGGTTTGTCCTTGGCTGTTCAGGGCAAAAAACACTCTAATATTCTGTGCCATTAGTCATCTCAGAGGTGACCTATCTGTTACAACAAGAGAACTCCAGCCATGCAAAAACCAGGACTGGTAAAACAACCTGGAGTGGGCTGACAGCTCATGTTATAAAATATGTTTATAAACAACATGTGCTCCAGTTCTCAACGTGAAAAGGAAATTTCTCATTAGGTTTGCTGGCCAACTTTCAGAATCTCAGAGAAAGTAAACCATTAAGCAGTTAATACAGTAATATCTATGTATAATGGACACCTCATCCCATCAGTGTTTTTTCCCCTCCACTGAACTTTATTCCCTTGTATCTTTTTCCCTGTTTTTTGAAAAGAACTAAACCAGAAGGATTTAGAGGTGATGTGCACATAAATTCACTTTCTCTCACCATAGACTTGTGTATAAATGAAGAGCTAACAACGAACCTCATCTATTTTGTCAAAAATAACAGCACTTGAGGACTGTGAGTTAAGGTTTGTTTGAACTAAGGTGATGACATCTAAAAACAATTTTTTTCTTCTCCTGGCTGAGATGCAACCAGTTGTGTCAGAACTGTGCTGCAGTCCCAGTCAAGCAAGAGACCAAAATAAATGAACTGCAGCATAATATGAACAAGCAGCAACATTTAAAGCTGGGTGGCAAAACCTTAGAACAGATCATTTACCAGAGCAGGAGGATCCCAGAGGCCGATCAGACCGAGTACATCCATCCCACAAGAAATACATGGAATCACACAATTGCCTCAAAACTCACTTTATGTCCTGGGTCACAACATTACTTTGATGTTTAAGCAGCAGACAACCCCTTAACCTACTTTAAAAATTCCCAGTGAATCATTTGTTCTAGAGAGGAGAGGATAGAGAAAATCCCAAGGCTGCTTTACCTGAAAAAATGGATGTGGTCAAAGGCAGCACAAGCAAAAATAAGGCCCCACATCCCACGTGCTCCAAGAGCATTCCCAGAACCACAGCTCCAGCCTTGCCTGCTGTTACAGCTCATCCCAAGCAGCAGGATGCTACTTGTCTTCCTTGCTGCTGCAGGAAAGGTGCTTCCCTAAAGACTTTTTAAAGCCAGAGAGGAGCCAGAAGTTCCTCAGGATTCTGGATTCCCCTCCACTTCCCAGCCCCATCCCAGGGTTAGCACTAACAGCTGGTCCCTGAGCACTGAATGCAACATCATCACACCCATCACTCAGCAAAAAACAAACCTTCCCCCAGGATTTGGAGCCCAGAGGCCCAAGGGGAAGATGTTCAGGATTTTATTGTGCTCTAATTCTTTCTTTGTTAAGCAACAGGCCCCAACCTCCCAGTCATTTCCCCTGAAGGGTGAATTCAGCAGCACTTCACCTTTTTTTTAAGGTTTAACACACTCAAATCCCAGGTCAAACACAAGCAGGTTTCAAATCAGTCAGCACTTCCCACAGCATATTTGGTAAGAATTTTCCCTCATGCTAGAAACCATGAAATCCTTTCCCTCCCCCCATTTTTTCCAGTAGTATCCACAACATTCCAGGCAGTTTCTTGCCTTGAGAAGTTCACAGTGCAGGCAATAAAAGGCCATGGGAGAGGCACACCCGCACCAGTGGCCCAGACAAGAAACACACCCCAAAAAACTACAAAAACCCACAAGATCTGTCTGGATCTCGTGGGATTCTTTTCCACTGCATGGAGTGTTATCACTGCTGGATCCCACGTTCCTGCACAGATTCTCACCTCTCCTAGATGCTGAAATAAGGTGGGACAATTCTGTTGGGCCTCACTTTTACAAAGATGATGATTACTCACAAGTTTCAGTCCTTATGAGTCAGGTCCATCACCTTCAATAACTCCACTAAAACGTTCTTCACTGTGTCCTGCTGTCCAGACAAAGAAATGAAAGGAGACAAAACAGGTTAATCAAACAGTGCAATATTAATATGAAGAAGTGAGTACTCACACAAGTCATTTCAGGATGGAGTTAATGGAGTTTTGATCTCTAAGTATTATTTCTGTTTGGGCTGCAGTGGGACCAAGTTAAAATGTCACTTGTCTAAGGTACAAACCCCAACGCTTTCCTTAAACCAGTTAAATAAATATTACTGAAATTTGTAAAGTCAACCAATCTTTCATAGAGGAAAAAAACCCTGTAATTCAGATACCAACCCTCCCTCTCCAATAGCACAGGGGAGTTTATGCAGTGGACTGAGGCTGAGCTGCAGAGACTTGACATAATTCCTTCATCACGACAGTTCCTAAAGAAAGAAGGGGGAAATTACCCCAGAAAAACATTCTTGCTGCACTTTGGAGATGATGTGAAATGTTAGATGCTAAATGTTATATATATTTCATTTATCCAAATGAAATAGAACCTCTGAGCCTTTAGAAAGAGGTTTTCTTGCTAGAGGAGTATTAATAATGCTGAAACAGAAGCTCAAAAAGCTGTGCAAATAAACATATTGAGAGGCTTTCACATCTTCCAGCACCACACAAACACCTGAATCAAACATGAGGCAAGAACCTGCATAAATCAGGCAATAAAAATATAAAACATTGCCTCAGTTCCAACCAGGTTATCACATGACAAGTTTAAAAGGCAAATTACATTAATTTAATCTGTATCCCTCTTTCAGAATTACGTCAGGATTTCATCCCAGGATGAAAGTGCTGGACCCCAAAGTGACATCATCAGGAACTGTCAGGCATGTGAGGTCAACAGTAACAATTTGTTTCATGGAAATTCCTTGTTTAAGAAGAAAAAATGCATCATATGACACCACCAGGGCAGAGCCAAGACTTTGGTGGCTGAGAGCAGAGAGAGCACAGCTGTAATGAGAGGGAAAAGTCACCTTGGAGTGTAACACAATTCCCAGAAGAAATTCCAGAAGAAATCCATTTCCAGCGAAGAACTATATCAATATCAAAGGCAATGCCAGGACAGCAGTGGGAGAAGGTGGGAAAGGAAAATGGACTGGGAAGAGAAGGGAAATAAGGAAACAGGGCTCAGGGATCCGTTGGTTAGATGAGGAAGAAGTTGGGAACGGTGCCTGATGGGAGGCACTGTGCCCTGAGATGCTCCTCACAGGGCCAGGGCAGACACTGCAGCATTGCCTGAAATAAATAAATAAAATAAATAAAATAAATAAATAAAAATAAATAAATAAATAAAAATATTTTCTTGCTTTTGCTACTTCAGGATTCCAAATGGGAACTGGGTCTAAGAAAAGGTAGAGTAAATTTAGTCTTAAATAAGGGACTTGGCAGTGAAAATTACTAAGGGTGGTATAAACAAGAAAAGAAGATTTTCTTCAGTAATTAGATATTTACCTGGAAAATTCCATGAGGATTCCTCCAATCCCAGACAAATTCTTGCCTGGCCCAAATCAGAGTTCCCTTCAAGCCTTATTTGTGCCCTTCTGCAAGTGCTAAAGGGCCACTGAAGCTGCTCTAGGTTTTATCAAGTTGGAGGAGAATTCCTGCAGCCTCCTTCCATAATGTCCCAGTTTTCAGTCAATTCTGTGGCCCTCCAAGCACTTGGAAATTAAGATTTTTAACTTGGTTGTTGGAAAATCATGAAACAAAATCCAGTATTTATTTAAAAATAAATCTGACTGGACTGACTTTACTCACTGATAGTCTCACACTTAAATACTCACAAGCACCAAGTTTTCTTTATCAGAATATTTTATGGCTCCAGTTCAGTTCCCCATTTTCCTGGTACCTTATATTTAGGTTAGTTCCTCCTCTTCATCTGAATGAAATGACACATCTGGCACTCTCTAGGCATTAACATACATTTTCTCTTCACCCTTGTACTCCTGTTTCCTCTGGAGCCACCACAAACACTTCTTTTTTAATATAACTCTACACAATTTTAATAATAAAAAAAGCCCTCCATGTCAAATTTCAGAAATAATTGGAGCTGCAAACAATTAGAAATCGGGCTATTAAAAAAAAATCAGCAAATAAATTCTTAATGTGTTTGTGATACGATCACAAAAAGCACCAAATTGTTCCATGTTGAAAAAAAAAAAAATCTTATCTACGAAACATTTGTATCTTAAAAAAATTCCAGACATGTGACACTGTGCAAAGAAAAAAAAGCATTAATAGTATCTACCAAGGCTGAGCTCTGTTTTTCCAAGTGTTCCAATGACCACCAAGAGATCTTAAATTTCTTATTAGGAGAAAAAAAGTCAATTTTGCTCAGAAAAAAATGCACTTCTGCCCTGAAATCACTCGAGCAAAACTATAGATACGGTGTCTAGAATCTGCATAAAAATGTTCAATTCATTTGCTCGGTCCAGATCTTTGTTTTGGTGAAAAGAAATTAATTTTATGTGAGGAATAAATCCCTAACAACTCTTAAATCAACAGCAGAGCCAGGAGACAGCGAGGTACAACAGCAGTGCCAACACTCCTTCCCAGTAAGGACACCTGACATGCAGATTAGTCCCACCAGGAATGTTTTATTGATCACAGCCTGTCATATGACAGTCCCTCTGCTATTTATGTACAATTAGCATCAAGTTTCATCCTGGGCTATTGCCACTTTGGATTTAATTTTACTTGGATCTGACTGCTGGTGAATGCTTCTTCTGCACTTGCATCCCTTGGTGTGAGAGCTGTTTTCTCCTGGAATTGCTGGGATATATTTTCAATGCTGCAGTTTTTAATTTGTGCCTTAAATCCAGTGTTTTCAAGACGCACACATCACCAGTCCCAGGTTTAATCACATGTCAGGCAGGAGCACAGACATGGACTGGGATTAAGGGGTTTTTTTAGCTTTTCACCCCAAAACGAAGGGAATGCTTTGCAGTGATAATCCCACCTGTGTTCCAGCAGCTCAGGAGGAAGGAAAGCTCAGCCCGGCAGAACCAGGAGTGATCTCAGCACAAAATGACGTGGGTGGGTCGGGCGGCTCTCGCTTGAAATGCAGGGACCGTCCCCCGACGGGGGAAAGCACTTTCTCCTGGGATGTGTCACTCAGTGCCCGGGAGCTGCACAACTCCAGCCCTGTGCTGGAAAGAGAGGGGGCAGTGAAGCCCCACAGGGAGCAGTTTAGATTTGAACAACATTTTATGGTGTATTTTAACAGCAAAAAAAAAAAAAACCAAAACCCACACCAAAATTCACATTAGTCCTGCGTGATTGTATTTTGGTTCGGCCATTTTCGAGCTTGTTAAACACCAAACTCCACGGGTGGGGATCAAACATCACAATTAACAGCAAAGTTCCAACTGGCACCAGTTAAAGAGGAGACAGAGCCCAGGCTTTGCTCCCTCCCAGTGCCACGGGGAGTTAAGCAGGATGCTTTGAATCACTGTCTCCTCCCACAAGGCTTTTGGAAATGTTGGGTTTATCGATGCAGGACATGCCTGACCTTCCTCTTTTTCCTCCACTGTCCCACAGCCACCACAGTGCAAAGTTTGGGGGTGTTCAGAACACCCCTGTGACACAGCAGGCCCAGGGGACAGGTGTCACATTGCAAACTAACCACACACTGGGGTTGGCAGGATAGGGGACTAATAGTTTGTATTCCTACAGGAAGGTCAAACATTATGAACCACTTGGAATTTCCTAGAATCATAAAATCATTTAGGCTGCAAAAGGCCTCCAGGATCATTCAGTTCAACCCAGCACTGCCAAGTCCACCATTAAACCATGTCCCTAAGACCCTTTCCACATCACTGTGATGAAATTCCTAAAGAACTAAGGAATATATAGGTAGGGAAGAGAAAAAACCTGAGATGTGAACACACAGGGAAAAAAATCTGCATTGGTTCTACAACCTTCCCGGCTCCAAGGACACAAAGAACTGTTTGTTTAAAAACAACTAAAGTCAAGATATTAATTTTAGAGTTAAATGGGAAAAAAAGAAAGCTACGAGCCCCTGATACAGTAAAAAGTAAGAAAATAGAAAACTTGGTGTTTTCTTGGGGTGAGGGTGCAGTTTAAAAGACTGAAAGTCTTACATCCGAATGCAGATAGTTTTTTACTTTACTGTAGTTTTTTAATCTGTTACCCTGAGCAAGATATTTTTTCCCCCCCAGACCACTGTCTTACTGTAGAGATAAATTCAGACCAATTTTTACAGTCTCTGATGGCAGATCCCTTCTGCCTCTCCCCAGGGGGTCACAGAGCACTCCTAATCAGCACTAGTGTGCCATCCTTTTAATCTGTGCCCCCTTTACTGGCCAGGAATGGGTTTGAAGGAAAACCCACAGCCAAAACATAGTGTTGTGAAGTGCAAGTGAGTCATGGGAGTGCTGAGCTGACCTTCTGCAGTCCCAAGGAATGCTAAACAAACCCCTGCAAGTCACTGCCACCCTGCCAGCCTCACACTGACCAATTCCATGGACACAGAGAGTATCCAAGGCACTCTGAGAGCAGCCTGTGCTAATATTGGCTCCTGAAGCCCATTGAAAGGAGTGCCAGAGGTCACAAACCATCTCTGGCAGCCTGCAGGGAGTCTGGTTGGAACTGGGAAAGCAACACTCATTTGCCTGCTGCTTATTTTTTTGTCTTGAAGGCATCTTGAGCTGTTTGAGCTTTAAGAAAAAGATTTTGCCTTCTCAGAGATTGCCCAAGGTATTCTGAAGAGCAACAGAAGATCATCCTCCTCCTTACCTTTGTTAATGGAGCATTAATTCAGCATCGTGTTTCAGTATCAGCTCTAAGTGTTCTATGCTGACTTATCTTTCTAGAGTCAGTTAATGCTACAGAAAATCAGTGGTGATGCCACTAAATGCAGCCAGAACTGAGAACTAGGTTTTCAAATTGAAGGGTAATTTTTCTGTGTGGCCCACAAAAGAGAAAGGAAGAGAGCAAGGAGATCTTCCTCTTGGCATTTTAGCCATCTGGTTGCTGAACAAAAGTTATCTTTCCACATGAGGTAACTGGATGGGCTGTTAGAGAACAGGATTCACACACAGCAAGGAACCTTTTGAGGAGTTAAATGTAGAATTTGTGCCTGAAATTTTATACAGAAGCACTGTATAAAGGCATTGAAACAACGTTTGCAGTTATTGCATAAGGTTATCATTCTTTCCTAGATTCAGAGTTAACTCTCACAAAGCAAGGGTGTGCAAAATAGTAACACAAGCAGCTCTTAAATACCACTTTCCAGTAGCTTGCAAGACATTTGTGAAGCACATTGCTAAATCTTATCTATATAGTTTAATTTTAACACCTGCTATCAGCTTGTTCTGACCAGTGTTGTAAATCACAGTGATAACCTGAACTGCTTGTCTTCTGAATTGTCTCTGCTGCAGTGTCAGAGTTTAGTCACCACTTAGTGATGCATTTCCCATGTACTTAAAACCACACTGGGTGCCCTGTATTTTAAAATCACCCTGAACTGAAAACGTGCCCTGTCTCACTAACTTTGAATTGCTTCAGCTTTTATCTCTCCTGATAAGAGTTTCTAGAAAGATGCAGCTATTCCAGCCACCATAAAATATGTGAATATTATTGGTTGTATCTAAGCAGAACAGGCAAACCACTTTCAGCTTCACGACAGGACAGATTAATGCTGGTTTAGGTCTCACCAAGTTCCCAAGATCAGCAAATTCCTGACCATTTCCCTGTCTTATCATTGCCTTTGTAAATGGCCAGAAATTCATGGCTGGGAGAAGGGACTGGGAAGGTGGATTGAGTCTGTATACTTGCTAAAGAACTGGATCATTACAAGGTGTGCAAAGAGGAAAAGCCATATTTACCAGGAATTAATTGAACATAATTTGCAGGAAGGTCTTTGGGATCCACTGTGGCAAAGGCTGCATTTCATGAACACTTTGAGAGTGTTTCTGAGCAAACCAAGGACAGAATAAGAAAAAAAGAGAAATGAAAAATGGGAATAATGATACTGACATCTTATTATACTAATGATACCTCAGTAATTTAAGCTGCACACTTCTTATGCCAAGAAAAATAATGTCATAGTATTCTTGTCACCTGTTAAAATGAGAGTTCAGAGGCACTATTGAAACACCAGAAAAACAAGTCAGTTTACAGCAAGGGAAACCCCATCCTTTGCAAACAACCAGACCCAAAACACGCTGTGTGACCCTCAGCTCCAGCTCCAATTGTAACATGCATTTCACCAGGTTTTCTTCTTGTACTTCCTTTTCTTTTGGAGGTTCACACTCGTCAATGAAACTCCTTTGTGTCTGTAGCACATTCATTCACAAGGCATTGGGGAATTCTTACTTCACTCTGGTCAAACAATTCACTGATTCCTTTAGACAAAAACTGTGCTAAATAGCTGGGCTGTTGTCATGACCCTTCACCCAGATTTTTTGATGGGAGTTACTAAAATGTCATGTAAAATTAAATTAAACAGCACTGATTGAGTTCCTACCAAAAGTGAAAGCAGAAAGGTAAATTCCCTATTATGTCTAGCAAATGAAATTCGGGCAAACAGCTCTTTCTTGTGGATGAAAGACAGTTTTACATTAGGACTTACCACTGATTTCCACTCCATGTCCCTGTGAAACATAAATAGCTACAAGCAAATATTATTTCATGGCTGCCTACGTGTGCTCTGACACAACGCACAGGGAAGGACTAAAAGCTGAAGTCAGTTCTTATCAAAGCCCATCCTATTTCTGTCCATCACCTCTCTTATTTGGAGTCATGCTGGCTGTCATTTTCCTGCAGAATTATCACACGAAATTCCTGCAAAATTATCCTGCAAAATTATTCCTGCAAAATTATCATGATAGTTTTCAGTGAACAAACACTGGTAAAACCTTTGCAGTCTCTGGCACCATAAAGAGCAGATTTAGATTAGGAGGATTAAAGCAAATTTCCCTTATTAAAAGGACATGATAGATCACCCTAGACTCTTTTCCTCCCCTCAGATGAGAACAGCACTTTCAGGAGCGCTCAGCCTTTTCCACACGGGATCTCCTGGGCAGGTATCACGTTTCCAAGGGAGCAGGGCAGTTCCTGCAGGATCAGGGATCTACTCAGAGCTGTAACTTTCCACTGCCCAGCCGGCTCCTCGTGTGCCCCGGGCTGGCCTGACCTTTCCTCACACAGCCCCTCACTCCGGGCTGGGTTTGTGTGCATTCCAGAGCCCTCCACAAGGGTAAAACCGGGGAAAAAAACAGGGAGGAGGAAAGCTGATGAGACAAAGAATAAGTGAAAGAAATGAAACGGGAGGTGAAATCAGGTGATTTGCTACACGACCCTGATCCAGTTTCCAGAGAAGTTTTGCATTAACTACAAAGCAAAGAGAATGAGGCCCCGAGCCAGTTGTTCTGTCACGAGCACAGAGCACACTGAGAACAGGCATCTTCTCAAATCTCTCACCTGACCCACACCTGAGACTGAGTTTGCAAATTTGGGCCCTAAATACAGAGCCCTCTGCTGAGAGGTGTAGCAATGTCTTACCTCCACACAGCTTCTTTCGTTTAATAACCCCCCACGTGTGTTTAAAGACAACTTAAAGAAGGAAGGATACACATATTTATCCCTTTCCTGTCCTTCCTACCATGAAACCTTCTCCTTTGACAGGTGAAAAATCCAGCTCCTACTCCCTGTCCTGTCAGAGCCAGGGATGGCACACAGCCTCTGCCTGGCACTGCCTGTGCTGTGCAGAGAGGGCTGTGCTCTCATCCACATCAAGGGAATCAGATGTCTGCCTTGAACAAAAGCTCACTCCTTTGTCATCCTTCACCTGTCCTCCTCTCACCTTCTAACATAACCAGCCTTCCTCAGAAAGGCTGGACTAAGCTCCTTTTAGCTCCCAGATCAAAGTTATAAACCACAGGAGCAGGGAGAAGCCTGACTCAGAGTTTGCTGGGCTCTAAATGCCAGCTCTCTGTTCCCTGTTGTCCTGGAACATGGGAAGGGGAGGCAGGTGAAAGACCTGGCTGTGTAAGCAGGAGCCACGTGAGGCCACAGGATCACTTTTGTACTGATGCTAAAGCAGGGCTGGGCAGTCAGGAGGCAGCAAAAGATACAAAGTGCAAGTTCCACATGGGTGGGATGGAGCAGTTTGCCCCCAGCTTCTCAGGCCCCAGAGGCTCGGCCTTTGCAAAGCTTAGTTTTAATGACAAAAGAAATATAACACCTTAAATTTGACTGCCTTACCATGTCCAGTGTTCTGCCTCAACTGCGTTCTCAGACACAAAACATAATCCTGAGATTAATTCAATTTGATTTTAGTGACAGCAGTGAATGTTTTACTCACAGGGAACAGCACGAGACTTCCTGCAATCCAAGGCTCCACCATCCTTTCTCTTCAGGGCTCCCTTGGGATGAACAACACCTGCAAAGCCCAGAGTCATGTCTGTGGTGGAACCACTGCAGCCAGAACAACTTTTCTAGTTGTTAATGACCCACAATAATTAATGGGCTCTGTTTCCCAAAATAACTTATTCCCATAATGTCCAGAACTAATCTGCCTTTGACTGCAAAACATGAGCATCTCCACCTTTTCAACCCTTCCTGAAAACAGGTCCAGTACTTGGTAGTCAAGCACTTCATGGCATCACCATGTGAACTTGGAGCAGAGGCCACAGCTCCTTCTCCTCCAGGAGGTCTGGCACTCACAGCTCATTCTGTTCTAAGGGCATATTTTCACCACTGGTAAGAATTTCTATGGTTAATTCTTACACCAGTATTATCCAACCACCTCTCCTCCCAAAGGAGATTTAACTTACCTTTTAACCTCAGGACTAAATGAGAGAAGGGATTAAAAGTCATTCCAATTGGCTCTTCATACACTCCTGCAGTATCTCAGCTGGTCTCCATGCTGGTCTCCTTCGTGATGTCTCCCAAGGCAAAATAAACTGTGTGCTGACTGATCTAGGTCAGGAATTGGTGGTTATTTCTTTTCTTGTCTCAGCAAGATGTGCCACAAATCCTTCTGTGGGTGTTTCAGTGGACCCTGGGACCCTGCTGTTGGAATTAAAAACAACCTGCCAGTTCCTGTCACAAAGGCAGAGACAGGTACCACTTTTATACCCCTTTGCTAAAAAAATAAAAAGGAAGACACGTCACCAGAATAAGGAAATAAAAGATGCCATCAGAAAGCAAGCACATGAAGGTAGGGTTAAATGGGAGCATAAAAACAATTCAACAGAAAGAATTACTCCCACATTGTCTTGAAATGAATGAAATTCCTAAAGGATATGCTCTGCTTCAGTTCCTGCCTTCTGTAATACTACAGAAACCACAACCAACCCATCTGTGTGGGGAAAAAATGCAAGGGAACTGTGCTTTGCATGGACCCAGCCCATAAAGTGAAGGATGAAGGCATTTCCCTCAGAAGGAAGCTTGGTCCATGCTGTCTGAAAGAACCTTAATGATATAAGTACATGTGGCATAGAGAACCTGGGTGGCAGTTTTACCAGTTATAGCCATGACAGCAAGACCAAAATGCAGTAGAACAGAAAATACAGTTGTAATTTAGAAGAAACAAATTGAAATGCACTCCCTATCTGAAATTAATTCGCTGCAAACTAAGTAAGTAATGGTTCCTATTAAATTAAGGGTGTATTTGTAAATCCACAGCATTGGATTGAGCTGCACACCCTGTGAAACTCAAGCCAGCAACATCCTTGTATAAATGTTAAAGAACACTGCTTTGGAATCATTGGGAATCCACAAGAAAAGGGTTGTATAAACCTGCAGGTTTTAAGTCATCCACAGCCATTTTCTCCTGATTTCAAGAGGCTGCAGACAAAGGTTGTTCAGTGTATTAAAGAAGGTGAAGTTTGCTTCAAACCTGAGCAGCATTTTCCAGCTTTCCCAGAGTAAAAGTGTTCTTTTCTTCCAGAAATACAAAGCAGGTTAGATTTGGATTCCTGCCACAACACTTCCCACTGTAGTGAATCTTACCCAAATCCAGAGCCTTTTACATACAACAAAAAAATGCAAGAGTATTAAGAAAAGTGATTAAAAAGGGGGATAAGAAGGAATGCAGAAGTCAGGAGCTGCTTCTGGTTTAAACAATGAACAAGTGAGATGTGGCAGAGTCCTGTGGGAAATATATTTGCAGCCTTGCTCCTGGCTGGAGCTGGGGACATGGAGCTGCAGCAGTTTTGCCCATCTCAGGCTGTCAGATACAACTTGGTATCTTTTTCTCCAACAACAGTATAAAAAAAAAACCAACAACCCTCCTAGCAAATTCCAGCAGACTTTGAAGGGAAAATATATAAAGAAAAATTAAGAGTTGTACACAGGAACGAGAATGTTGGAACCCAACTGACTTCAAACAAATTACATGGACAATTATATGTTTCACTTGCATGAGTCACTGCTCTGATCATAGTGGCTGTAATGCTGCAATAATTAACTACTTTCCCCCCATGAAAATTCATGTTAACTGTGCTCTTACTGCAGTTCATTTTCTCAGGCGTAACAATCAGTCACAAAAAAGCAAAGATGAATGTTTTGGGCATCTACCTACTTGCAAAAGAAGAAAAAAAATTGGAAAATTAAAAAGCTGAATATTTTAACACCTTTCTGTATCATTGCATTTGATCCACCTTTTATACTTGGATAAATAAAATCCTGCCATTCTGAAAGCAATACCAGTTTTACTTGAATTGATGTTTATGCTTTGAAAAGCAATCTAAAATCAACTAATTGACTGTATTGATTTTTGTACCTGTGTTTGTAGCAGGTAACATGTAGGAATACATACATATGCATTTAGATCATTCCAAATTAACTAAACCAAAGAATTTGAATATCTTGTCCATCCAGCTTTTCAAACCATATACAATTATATCATCAACTGTATGTATCAAAACCAGATCAAAAATATGCTTTTAGCTGCCTATAAAGTTATTTTTACCCAACAAATCTAAAAGCCCTTTGCAAAGGAGGTAAATACCTCTCTCATGGACAAGGTAAGCTGTGTTTTTAACCAGAAGCAGATCCAGAGAATCCACATTTCCAGGCCAGGTGTCTCTCCTGGAGGCTACACTCCATCTGGAAATGAATCCTTGGGTACATAAGCAAGTGAAGTATCTGGACCCCTGAACATGATCCTGAAGCACAAAATTCTCACATCAAAGGGTTTTTTTCACTAATACTTCCTTGGATTTTCTCCCTTTGTATAGAACAACCATTACCAGAGGGGCACTGGATCCACTGTTTATACCCTTGGGAGATAAATCAGGAAAAGCCAACAAGGAAAGAACCAAATCCCATTGCAGAGCAATATCTATAATCAGAATATACACAACATGTATTAAACACACAAGTGATAACAGGGATGATCCTGAAACAGCCAAGAATTCAATGTGACATCTGAGCCTTATAAAAATCCCAGAAAACACAATGGCCTATTATGAGGCTGTAGGATACAAAGAGGTTTCAGCTAAAAGGCCTTATGTAACCCTGTGTTAGGCTGGAGTCCCCCAGAGCAGCAGCTTTATTAGTCCAGGCTTAACAATGGGACAAACAGCAGAGAAAAATCCATAGGGGGAGAATGAGGAGGTTTTTTTTAGACTCTATTAAAAGTGATAATGAAATATATTGTAATTATGAATTATTATAGAAAGGGATGACTCCCTATAACATATCCAGACAAACCATGTTCACACTCACAGCACAGTTTACACCTCGACTTGGCTCAATTCTGGTAAAACATGACTGACCTTCCTGTTAAAAAGCGTTTCCAGGCTCTATAAAAATAGGGATGAAGTTGTAGGGCACGTTTGGGAAGGCAGGGGTGGGGAAAAGGCTTAATGTAGAACTTTGCAGTTTCAATTAGCACATGTGTAACACTAGTTAGCACTTAATGCAGAGACGAGGTAAGAACACAGAATGTTCCTGTTATTTACACTGAATTTCCCTCTTTTACCACACTGTCACTTCAGTTAAAGTCACAGTTCAGGCTCTGAGCTGAAACGCAGCTCCCACCAACACCAGTAGATGGCACAAAGCATTTATTTCACTCAATTCATCACGGTATTTATTGTAATGCCACAGAATCAGAGAATCACCCCTTATCTCCAGAATGCTGCTGTAATACATCCCTCTAACATAAGAAGCCTAAGATTGTTACAACCTTTAAATTAATTTTTAGGTTTTTTTCTAAAAACACTTAAAATACATATAGCACTGACCAAAAATTCTATTATAACACATGGATATACATTACATACCTTCACTAGGTAAAAGGGACTACAGATGATGATGAGAAATGCCAGGAATCAATCACAGATTGATTAAGTTGTTAAAACATCTTCTGTCTTAGAAAGCAGAAAAGTAAATTAGAAGGGTAGAAGTAACATAAACCAGGTTCAACTCACAATGAGGGGGAAAATAACCATTTATTTTAGAAGTAGGTAAAGATTTGAAAGGAACAGCAAATAATCAAACTTTTTTAAAAAAAAACAAAGAAAATTTGACAAGGAAAATAATCAAGAGCCCTAAATATTTGTTTAAAGCAAAAAAAAAAAAATCTAATAGCCTATAACCAGTCATACAATATCATCTATGAATTCCACATAATTTATAAAGAACAAGAAAAATAGACATTAAAATAGTTTTTATTACTTAAAAAAACCCACAAACATACGAATTCCTGAAACAGTTGTTTGCTTTGCTGTTACATGTTGGAAAGCCTCAGTTCCTGGAAAAAAAAAAAGAGAACAAAAAGTGAATTACACTGAAAGACAGGGCTGGGGAAGTATCTCCTGTTCTGTAAAGCACAACATTTGTATTTGTACAACTTTGACAGAATTCTTGGAATATTACAGACAGAAGACTCAGGCTACCTGACTCCATGTTTTAAAGTTGCAAATATAACCTATAGCTCCATAATTATAGGATTTAATGATACTTAATTTGATATTTTCAAAGAAATATGATGACATCATGCCCCTTAACAGGGCAAACCACTTAGCTTTATAGCTGCTATTCACTGCACAAGCACACATTAAAAGCTATGCAATCATATGATAAATTATGCTCATATCTGCTGGTCAAATTACAGCTTAATAACATGAGAAAAACCTGTAAATAATGCCAAGATGCATGGCTTAATTATTTTAATAGCAAGTAATTTATCAAATAATTATGAAAAATAAAGAAGCAGCCGGGTCTAATGGGCTGGAATAGACCAAGCAAGAATGTTTTGCTGTACTAAGCCAGGACTAAAACATTCCTGGTAAGAGCATCTTGATTTTTCCTCCAATCCAGGACAACTCTAGGCAGGGAAAGCTCCAGGCAGTGCTTGCCCCTCCCTGCCACCCCTCATTAGACCCAGTGATCATGCAGGTCAGTTCAACAGGTTGATCTGAAAGGAAAAGTTTGCTTTTGACAGATTTGTTTTCTGCCAAACCGATCCCACGTTGTGCCACACGGAAAGCAAGGAGGTGACAGAGAATATGCAGCCAGCAGTGGAAGAACTGCTTTTCCACACCAAACTCTGGTTACACCAGCTGAGGTGTAAAACCCAACTCATTAAAATTTGGGACAATTTAGTCTGGGGCACTTGACAAGCCAATATTTTGATGGCAACATCAACAATTTCACAGATAAACCCAGAAGTAACAGACATTTGCTCGCTGCTGCAAGGAAACCACATTAGCATAACTAAGTGACTCAATGAAATTTAGTGTCACGTTTCCAAAGCAATGTTGTGACAACATCATTTTGCAGGATAAACACCCCAGTTTTACCGCAGGGATGGACAGCTGGGCTGTTTGCCTTAATTCCAAACAGCTCAGATATTCACACATATCTAGAGGAAGGTGTCCTTGCCCATGGCAGGGGGTTGGAACTAAATGAGCTTTAAGGCCACTTCCAACCCAAACCATTCTGGGATTTGGTGTCTGGGAGAGACAAGTGGAAAAATTCCTCCTGTGATTGTTGATCTTCTTTGCTGCTGTGCAAGCCTAGAGAATCTGTGGGGGTGGCAAATACCACAGATACACCCCCTGTACACAAAGCTTTTTACCTCCTTGTCACCTTCTCACCTTGTCATCCTAAAACTCAAACCAGAGGAGGAACAGACTCATTGACTGTAATTGAGGGGCTGGTTTGCTCAGGAAGGCAATGAAAGCAGCTTTCATCTCACAAAGGGCTGAGGAGGGAATCAGAGACACCAGAAAGTTAAAAAGAAGCAAAGAAGTTGTCTGTCTCCAGGACATGTGAATTCCCTGCTGAGGGCCCCTGTTCCAGCTGATATGGCAGTGCTGTCTCTCCACCTAACCCTCACAATGCCTCTGTAACACATTTCTGTTCAAATGAGCAGTGGAATCGTTTAGAGTAACTCACCTCAATTTGATTGGAATGTATTAGAGAATGACCACAGAAAAAGCTTAGTTGGCAGTTCTGAAAGAAAGCAGCAGTCCCAGGGATGAGTCATAACAACATGGAACAGCACTGACAGTCCCTCATGGTGGGACCAGCAACAGGCACTGCACTTGCCCTTGAAAGAAGGGAAAGGAGGTTCCAGGCTGAGCAAACTGTCACTGCTCCACTCCAAAGCAGAACACTCAGCCAGGGCTGGGGTTTTGCTCCCAACAAGGCATCCTGTCAGAGGGCATTCCCTGCTGTGGACAGAAAGCAGAGCACAAACCCAAACTGACAAACTAAATAACTTCAGGGGTCAAGGAAGAGAAGTTGGTAGCACTGGGCATTTCTCTGATGGCTGCACCAAGGGAGTATCTTTGTCCCTCGTGAATAAGCACAGAAATGGATTGAAGCATGGATAACTTTGGCACAGCTGCTGACAGAAATCCTGCCCCAAAAGCAGCTGTGGAAAACTGCCTTCCAGCTCTGGCAGTGTCCGTGTGTCCATGGCAGCTCAGGTGTGGCAGATCTCATTCTACTATGACCAGATTACTTCTTGGCTAATCTGATCTCCCTCCAATTTCTGGGACAAGAAGATTCAGTGGATTTCTCTTTAAGCCCTTAGAATATATAGGAATGCCTTTGCTAAGCCTACACTGTGATTATAGGCCCAAATTTAGAGGACAGACTTGGAATTTCATGGACGAGGATCCCAACACTGTTGACAGAGCAGCTGTAAAACATCAATATACAAGCACTAAACTTGTACTTCAAAGAGCAATTTGCAATTTGCCATCAGCAGAAACCTAAGGGTGGATTTGTAGTAGGGGAATGAATCTCCTAAGCCAGATTCTTTTTTGATTTTTTTTTTAACAACAAAAGGATGCAAACGGGTAAAGGTTTGTTCCAAGCTCAAATCCCAATTTCTCTAAAGGAGGAGGAACGAGCTGGATCAGAAACAGGCCAAGGAGACCTCAGCAGGAGACAGGAGCAGGATTAACAAGTGAAATTGCTGTGTGACAATGAGTGTTGCTGAGATGGAAAGCACAAAGTACTGGCTGACAAAAATAATGATGATTAGACTCACAAGTGTTTTAGATACAAGATGATGGAGGTGATGATTTGTCCCAGCTCAACAGTAAAATATCATTGCTATTGGCTATTTCCTTACAATCAGCCTCCTCCAGGACATGCAAATGCTGTATTTTGATTTGTATTTGATATATTAAGATTTGGTGGGAAGTTTTCTTCCAGTACGAGTAATGTAACTGCCACCCTTCCAAAACTTCAGGAAAAATCTCTATATTAACTAAAGAAATATGAACTGCATTCCATTGCTTAGTTTAAAAAAAAAAAGCTATTCTAGGTCTCTCAGAAAACCTTAGAGATGTACTGAATTTGCAGATTGGTCAGCAGCAAGTTCCAAAAACTTACCAAGATCCTTAAAATTGTATTTTCTGAAGGGACGAAAGACACAGCAATTATTGTTGCTGAAAGTAGCTTCCCTGGGTCCCAGACTACTATTCAAAGAGTGATTACAAACTAGAGGGGTTTTTCTCCAGTCAAGGAAGGCCAACAAATGCCATACTTGAGTATTTTAGCAGCTCTTGCCACAGAGAATTTATTGTCTCCAAACAATGAAAATAAATGCAAAATAACTCAATTGATAAATGCTGGCTACAACCTCCAGAGAGGAAGAAAACCACCCCAAAACCAGACTCAAACCTGTTTGTTTGGAGCCTGGAACACACTGATTTTGAATGCCCTCCAATACCATCTCACCTGTTGTGACAGTGGTCTTTTATCTGAGACATTTGACTTCACAGTTTCATGTCAAAAATATTTATTCTGCAAACCTGAGCAAGTCCAAGTCCACAGATTCCTCAAGTCTCACTTTATGTGGATGTTGGGAGATTTCTTTCCTACATTATTTTCTGACTTGGTAAATTTTTGGGGGGAATATCACCTGTCTTTGGCTCCCTCTGTGTGCACTGTGCCTTCAAATAAAAGGTTCTTTAACTTGTGGTACCTTCAATCACACTAAAAAATTATAAATACAAATTATAGCTCAGAGGTGGAAACACTCTTCTTTTCCTCTTGTGGGTAGCTATTGCAAAGCTACAATTAACCTCAATTAATAGGAAGGGTAAACTTTATACAAAGAATATGCTGTTCAGGTGTTCTTAATGAGAGCAGCACTTGGCACTGTTTAATCTGTCTGGAACAGGGAGCTCTGCTGGGGTGAAAATTAAAGTGGCTAAAGTTTAATCCAAGTGCAAAGTGGGTTTTTTCCCCCCTATACCAAAAGCAATTCTGGTAATAAAAGCTGCCTAGAAAAGCCAAGAGTCTGTTTGGACCCTGAGTGCATCAACAGGCCTGAACTGCCCTCCCCAGCCTCAGGTGAGCCCCCCAAACACCCTCTGCCCACTGACACGCTGAAACTGGGGCTGAAGCCACTGCTCTGTGCTCAGTCCTGCTCCTGCTGTGCCTCATTCCAGTGGACTTTCTGGATTCCTGACCTCCAGCCTGCCTCCTCCCCACAGGTCTGTGCCATTTCTGACAGTCATCACATTTCTGGTGCTCACTGGGCTGCACCCAGAGCCTCTGAGTGCCACCACCTTCCCCAGCTGCTGCAAAAGGCATTTTCTGCCATCCTTACCTCAGGCACTGGGGGGACAATTAAGACATTTCCCACTGCTCTTGCTCCTCCTTCCTCCTATCAAAGCAAGAAATATTCCAAGTGCCAACTTCCACTCTACTGACAAGACTGGTGGGTTTTTTGTCAGTTCCAGCAGCGTCACTAATGATAAAAAATTGGGGGAAATTACTAAATCCTGTACCTCCTTCATAGTTTCTATTGTATTAAGGTTTACAGTTTCAGCTAATCATGTTTCCCTCGCATCCCCTGGGACACATTTTATATTCTGCACACAAAAACTATTTCCTACTGGCTTTCTCAGTGCTGTCACAGTTGTAGTAGAGCTATGCAAAAACCCCAGCCCTCCATGGATGCTGTTTGTATCAGCTCTACACCTCCCACATAAACCAGCAATATGGACCTATGGTTTAATCTTTAGCCATCAGTCCAGACTGCTAATTATTTACATGTACTAATGAGTTTTTAGTGTTGCCCAAAGTAGAATACACTGGAAAATGCACTGTAAAAACAAAAACAAAAACAAATTACTTCCCTTGAAGTGAAAGGATTTTGACTTCTGATTTTTAGATTTTTTTGTAATTGAAAACTTCCCTGTGCACCTGAAGTTACTTTATTTGTATGTAACTTGGCTTTTTAGCTGTATACCTCCAAGGGGAGTTATACTGCCTTATATTTCAGACATACAATAAATGTGAAGGAAGGAGAGCAAACATCACTACACCTGATCAGAGGGCTGTTGGCCTGGGAATGTTCTCACCCAACCTAAACAGGCAGGTACAGCAGAAGATCTGAGTAAGAGTCTGGGTAAAGGAAGAGTTTGAATAAGATAAAAAGCTTCAAAGCCAAGAGGATACATTTCATTGTCTTATTTTCCCCTTAATTCTTTATATTCTTAAATTCTGGGAATATACAGTTTAAGACATTATAAACATGTACTGCTCCCCCCTTTCCACTTAGTCCTATTTACACACCCATCCCTACTGGAAAATAAGTTTTCTACAGCCACAGTGATCCATATCCAGGTTAAAACTAATCACTTCTGTCAGGTGAGATTTCAGTGCTGGCTCGAAGCGTGTGTGAAACTCTGGCCTCATTAATCAGCAAATTTTACCTAATTACCAGCAGCCACAAGGGATGATCCCACTCCTGGAACATTTCTCAGCTCCCATTCCCAAACTTGCAGGGTTGTGTTCTCCCCTTCCATCAGCTTGTGACCCAAATACCAGCACACAGGAACGAATTCCCAGCACCCTCGAGCCCCAGTTTGTCCCTGCAGTGGTCCCTGGCTCCGAAATTACTGCTCTGCACAGTGAAAAGTTCTTAACAGAAGTTGCTCACCTGATTTGGCAGCTTTGGCCTCACATGCACCTTATTCCAGCTGGTGTCAGGAGGCAGAGGAAGATGCAGGATCAGGATGGGAAGATGCAAACAAATCCAGGCCCCTCTTGGAATGCTGTTCCCTGATTCCCCCCACAGCATCAGCCTGGGAGGTGTCTTTGTTCCCCATCAGGAAAAGCTGCTCCATTCAGGATTTCAGAACATAAACCCATTTTATTCCAGCCCAACTGGATGGCTTGGTTTGTGTTCCTGTGACAAGCTATTAATCCATCTCCTACAGGACAAGCATCCCTCCAGGAGAGAGGAAAAGCTTTGCCTCTGGACTACTTAGGGAACAACACAGGGCTTTTACAGGCTCTTATCACTCCCCCAGCACAGTGGGGCTGACAATGGCACATTTTCTTCCAGAACAATCCACTGTATCCATCTCCCCCCCTCCCAAGAACACAACTGAACTGTTCTGGAAGGTTATAGATTAGACAACTTATTTAAAATAGATGAAGCATTTGACTCTTCCCCTTCCTTATCTGTTTCCATGAGAAAATCTCCATGCTTTCCCCAGAGTTCCCTTCTGTGCATAGTCTAGACTGTCATAATAGATTTGACAACTATTTTTATTACACAACTTTAAAAAACAGTCTCAGAGAACTTGGTTATTAGAAAAAAAATTCTGCTTTGAATAAGATAGGACAATGTGTGGCTTTTAAAAAGCAAACCATGAATGCCTCTATTGTTGGTTTGCTTTCAAAGTTGATTTCTCAGTCTAGAAAAAAAACCAAAAGCCACTAAACATATTTTAGATTGTGCCAAACAGTAGTATCCATAGGAAGATTTCCTTTGCCTACAGAAGTAGTGGGACATGGAAAAATATATTTGGCCCTGAATTGCTGTTCTAAATGATAATAAAGTATAATCCCAAACCAACAGTACGTAAAAATCTGTGGTCACTGATTCACCAACCTATTAAAACAACAAAACTGGAAATCCTTCCAGTCACAGCTAAAAATTCTGCATTATTTTTTTCATTCTTCTCCAGGCAGGACCCATTTCACACTGCTCTGAGGAATCAGGTGTAATAAACACTTGTAAAGCCATTTTGTTGTATCATGGCCATGATACCAGAGTATATACAGAAGAAGTGTCCTCACTGTGCCTCTCAGCTTACATGACATTTTGGATTAAAAACAAGGTTGCTTTAGATGTGGTTTCTGCTAAGCACCTTTATATTAAACTATTTTGGTGCTATTTTAACTGCCTCCACAATTTAACCTCCTGGACTACTCCTCTGCACTGCTTTTGGGTTGGGAAGGACAGAAGAACTTGTCAGTGGTAAATGTTAAATGGAAGAGATTCCTGCTAATGGATTATTGATCCTACCTCAGTGACCTACTGAGAATCACACACAGAACGACTTTCTCCCCTTGCATAAGAATATTAAAAATATTAGCATTACATGCTAATTATTTTCATGAGGGAAAGCATCAAGCAGAGGTTACATCTCCACTGCAAGAGGAGGTGGCATCTGTTTTCAGCCACAGGTTTTATGGGGTATTTCCTCAAACTCAGAGAAACCCCTTTACAAAAGAAATCAGTATAAAAATTTCCATTACTCTGCCATAACCACAAGCTTGTTCTGCTGAAACACTTCACAGAGTGATTTTCTACCTCCCTGCAAGTGGCAATTTTAAACAAAGCAAGAGTGAAAGACTTGGCAGATGAAAAGTGCAATTTTATTTCATGTACATTGTCCCAGAAATCTTTTGTTCAGTTCTGTGGGCTCTATGCTGACAGGCATCTGAAAACTAAGATTCAGAACCCAAAGTCCTTTTCCTAAGGGAAAGGGTTTAAGGCTAATTGCTGTTAGGTGACACTTAACTAAATCATCCCATATTTCTTTCCTGTAGCTGGAGTAAAAAATACCAGTATTTTAGTTTTCCTTTATAAAAAGTCACTTTTCAGAAACAGCCTGGTCAAAAAGAGCCATCTTCACATAAAATGCTGGCAGGGGAAAAATCATCAAACTAGAGAGCCTGTGAACACAGAGAGTTTTCAACCAAGTTTGTAGTGAGGTTCAAATGGTTAAAGGCACCCCAGGTTTGCATCTGTACAACTGTCACACTGTGCTAATCCTGCCTTTCCCTCTGCTCCACACAGCTCCCTGGAACACTTACAGGAGAACACATGCTTCTAATTACCAATTTGCTCTGTGCAGGCAGCTCTTGAGACCTGCACTTCCCAAATTATTGCAATCCAATTCCCCAGGAAGGAAAGCCCTGCAGCCAGTCTTTCCTGCAGCCCTGGAGGGAAGGATGAACTCACCAAAGGCCTCTCCATCCCCACAGACAAGTTGGCCACCTACAGCCACACCTTCCCTGCACCTTTCACATTTTGGGAAGTAACTGGAGGTGTTTTGACACAATCCTTTCTTACAGGGAGAAGGGAAGTTCAATTTTTGAGAGGGGAGGTGTTGCTGCCACCCCCCTTGGAAGCGTGGTGACCTCTGGCACACCAGGAACGTGTGGCAGCCTCTGTTGCAGTGCTGTTGTTTTCGGTTTCTCCTTCTATCCAAAATTGCTTCTTGGTACCTGGACACAAAAAACCAGGGCCTGCAGGGATGTTTCCTTAAAATGAAACTCTCCAAAGGATTCTCACAGGGGAAAAAGGATTCTAAGGATAGAAATACTCTTTTTTTTTTTTTTTTAGCCCTAATTTTCCCTTCAGAGTGGAAAAGATCAGCCACAAAGGAACATGATCAAAGACTAAGTTTAGTCACAGGTATGACAGAAGAGAGCAGCAGCTGAAAAACGCAGCTTGCCAAAGGCTGAACGTTAATTTATGGACTGAAAAAGAGAAATGAGTAAAAAAGAGAAGCAAAGCTTAAACAGGGAAAAAAAAAATCTAAAATCAAGGCATTCACTGTGAAAATATGAAAAAAAAATATGCAAGAGTCCTAATGAATTGGATCAAGATTGCTTAAATATTAATGATTTACATTCAGAAAGCTACAAGCTCATCTTCAAAAATCTTGGGAAGAACGTGAGAGCTTTTACTTCAGCACAGATTATTTGCCCAGAACCGAAAGCTGTAGTTTCCTACAAACTGCTCCCTAATATCACCTCTCCAAGAAAAACCTAAATAGCAATTTGGTTTTACTCCTTTCCTTCTTCTACTCCTTTTTTTTTTTTTTTCTAACATACAAAAAAAAATTAGCTTGCTCATTTTGGAAAGTCACAAAAGAAACTTGTTCTGGAATTATAGTTGTGTTCATCACTTGGGAATATATTTTAATTCCCAGGCTATTCCCTACAGAACTGGGAAGGTAAAGGCAATGCATTAAAAACATGAGGAACTGCTGAGGGGCAGTTTGGAATTTAGGCTCAGTTCTAATGCTATGCCTGGACTGAGATAAATCTCACTCAGAGGTATAACCTGTATTTTATCCTGATATGTTTATGAATTTGGCAGCCACTAAATCCACCAATGATCATGGAAGTGCCATCTTTCACAGTCATATTAATACCCTTGCACTCACATCCTGTGATCCACAATCCCACTTCCAGAAGGATGCAAGAGATTGTTACTCCAGAAGGGGTGTCACTGTTACCTGTGTATATAAAGTGGTTTTTTTCAGCTGTCCTTTGCTCTCTGTGGGCAGTTTAAAATCAGATTAATGACTGAAAGTTATCATATGCCCACTAAATCATAGGGAGGACAGAGCTTCATCAATTTTATAATTGTACAGTTTATTGGGGAGAACCAACAGCCTGTGCCAGTGGCATTTAGAGCACTGAACATTATGGATTATTTTAGCTCAGATTCCTGAACCACCTTTACAGTTTGGTCCTTATTTTAATACCTACCTTTCCTTAAAAAAGACCTGAAGGTGCTTTGAAGTTGCAATGGGTCAGACCAAAAAACAAAGCTAAGAGGTAACACCAAAAGCAGGTAAGACAAAAAACCCAACCCAACCAACCCCAACACTCTCAGAACTAGGGAATGTCTCCAAGGTGACCAGCTCTGGTTTAACACTTTAGTAATTCTTAAAGAACAATTTATTTGAGACTTACCATATTGCTATATAATGCAAAAGGAATAGTTGTATCTAACTGTGCTCACTTGTTTACACACAAAGTCCCATTTTAAAGATTTTTCGGTAAAAAATGTTTTAAACTCATTTATTTGAAGGACTTGACTAGGGGAAGGGGGAAGTTTCTTACCTTTCCCTTTGCCTTCTGACCTCATTTGGCATCAGCACAATTCACATGAACGTGGGAAGCAAAATTTGGCTGACAGAAGGATTGCATCAGTGAGGCAGCACAAAGATTACACCTCAAAAAGGCTGCAGACGGAGAATTTGTCCCTTGTAATATACCCTGGGTTTTCCCAATGTTTTGCTTGGTTCCTTCTGAGGCTCTTTTTCATGCATTTGGACACACTGTGAAAAGTTATTTTACAGGCTTAAATGTACTGTCTAATCCTTATTTAGAGCTTTAATTATCTGAAATACTCACCAATGGTGTTTACGGTTCATTGCTTGAGGCAGTTTATGGATGATTATGTTCCTACCGGGCTTCTCCTCATCCATGTTTTACACATTTCACACCTTGGCTCTCCCAGCTGTTAATTCCCAATCACCTCCCAAATCCTGCCCATCTGGTTACAACACATTGATAATGATAAACTCAGGTTTAGCTACAATATTCTAGGAGTGGTCTCAAAATTACTTTAGGCCACTCCCCTGCTGCTGGTGAAGTATCTGCTCACAGATACTCCCTAATTATATTGTCCTTTGCTTTGCCCTGTCACAAGCAAAGGCAAATCTAATTTGCTCTCCACTTTCTCCCTCAGCTATTACTATTTTCCAAGTCTTCCCTTGTACTGAACTTCTCATTCTTTTTTCCAAGGACACCAGTTTATATTTGTCCCCCGCGCTCAGTTACATCCAATTTCCTGTTTCCAAGATTTTGAGATTATGTTGCATTATTTCTATCTACTTGGGTTTGTAACACCTGAGTTATGATCATCTGCAAATGCTGTTAATATTCTTCTTACAGCCTCTCTGAGATCACTGATCTGGGACATTCATCAAAACAGACCAGTTGCTTTCTTCCACACAAGAATAAATGTAGCTAAATGCAAAATTAGTTTGGCCAAAGAGACGGTGGAGCGAAACAAAAGTAATTAAAGAATAAAAGAGGTACATCAGAAACTCTCCCAAAAGAAAAAAAAACAACAACTAAGAACAACAGCAGATGCTCCATGAGAAGAGGGATGCTCAGGCAGGATTAGTTCTGCCATTTCTACAATGACATGAAGTAAGAGTGGAAGGACAGAGCAAATTCTCTGCATTCCTTTCATCAGCCAAACATATTTCCTGGTCCTGTCACGTCAATAATCCCAGAACTAAGTTGACAGCTGCCTGAGAAAGTGGAAACCACGAGGCATCTTTCCCTGCTCTCGGAAGGAAGCTTTGGCCATGGACACAGAGGGGGAAAGGAACGACTCTGCAGTCAGGGCACGGCCCCCAGGAAGGAATAGTTTGGGAAAAGGGCCTTTGCTGAAGAATGAGGTGGAGGCTGGAGCTGTTTACAAAGGCACTCCTGACAGTAAGGGATTGCTTTAGTTGTGTGTTGCCCAGACATCCTTGGAAATTTACAGCTGGCAATTTCCTCGGAATGCCTCATTCCTTTCACTTCAGCCTCACTCCACACCTGCCTCCTCTTCTCCTTTGCCTTATTTCCCCAGCTCTGTTTTTCTCCCTTCCCTGGTCTTTCCATTTACTAGTCCTACTTTAAGTCAAAGAATTCTGATACTAACAGGATGTTTTTCTCTGACTCCTCCTGCTGTCAGAACCTCAGCTTTCCTGAAGGCACAACTCCTAATGCAAGTACAGCACCCAGGAAAATCCCACTGCTGCTGAAAAACCTCAGGAGACCAAACTGACTGCAGCTAAAGGAGATGATCTGCTAAACTGCTCAAGAAAATTCACAGGAAGGGTGTTCAAAACCCCCAGAAGAGTAAAAAAAAATAAATGTTTGCATAAAATATAAAAGGAAGAACACCATACAGCTCTTTAGCTTTGGGTTGAAAGCCAATAAGCACTGCCCAGCTCCTTCAGTCTCTCCTCCATCTTGAGCTGCCAGACTTCCACAGGGTTTTCCATCTCTTTCCTGTGCTGATGGACCAAAACCCAGCATGGTGTTCCAGATGCAGCTAATGAGAGACCAGCAGAGAGAAATAATCACTTCACTTGATCTCCTGGTTATGCTCCTTTTGATCCAGCCTAGTGTGCAGTTGGCTTTTATCACTCCCAGGCCACAGTGCTGACCTGAAACCCAAGCAAATTTTTCTATTGATTCCAGCAAGGCCTAAATGCCAGAGTGAACATCTAATAAAGGAGCCAACAGCCAGGGCACAGTGGTAACAAAACAGCAAGAATGAGCTTACAACAACTACTGACAGCGTGTGTGGGAGAGGAGCTGGGATCCACACGCACGCTCACCCTGTTCAAACAGCTGCTTTTTACTGGTTTCTGACCCAGCCTTTACCTGGCTCCTCACAGAACACATGAGAAGGGGTGGATTTTCTCATCCCACGGCATGTTCAGCCACACAGGGAGGCTGTTTCTAAAAAAAAGAAACACCCAAGAAACATTAAAATGTTATTTGAGATAAGCACAGCCAGTGCTATGGATGAGGCAGGAACTCTCTCTACTCAAACACAGGGTTTAGCTCACTAACGAAGCTAAGCCCTGCTGTGTTTTTAATAAATTGTAATTTATTAAAACCACATTTCATTCTGAGGCACCACCAACACCTGACGAAAATGTGAGAAGCTGCATCTGTTCCCCAAATAGTTTACACTCAGTTTAACAAACTAATTTCAAGGATTAAAACATTTTTGTGTGAAACACACACACACACAAAAGGAAAATAGAAGCGAACCTTCAGAACAAGCAGAAGGAGTTAAAAAAAAAAAATCTGCGTTTTTGGTCTCTGAAATCAGTTTGTTTTGAACACCAGGGCCAAGAACATCAAAACACACATAGGAACTGTTTATTCTGAGTGCTGGAGTTACAGCCCTGGTCTCAGCACCACCAGCTTGCTATGTCTATCCATCCTTTTGGAATGACTTTCAAATTCAATCCCATCAACTCCAGTGCTGCCTTCAATTACAGTTACCCTGCAAAACCTACAGATCTGTAAATTCTTAGACAAGCCAAGTCAGCAGAGCAAGATAAACAAGGTGAATTAAACACAGCACCCAGACACAGATGTTAGAGGATGCAGTTACTTTTATGTATGATGAAAAAAATAGAGAGCATTCACATTCCAGCTCTTCAAGGGTCTTATTTATATTTTTTTCCAAGAAATTTAACTGAGGAATTAAGTACAGTAATACCTTGAGCCAGTATTACATCACACAGGACCTACTTTGGCTTCACGTGGTCTTGCACCCTCTCAGCTTCTACACAAAACATTATTTTATCAGTTTATTATTATTTCCATCAATAAGGACTGTCCTACAGTTCTTATAATTAGGGAAGGCAACTATCCTGAGGCTAATTTCCTATATAAAAGGAGCCCAGTGTTGCAACGATGTTAAATATCCTCCTTTTTTTGGGCTGTGAGCTCCAAAGCAGCCTTATCCAAAGAAACAAATAAGAAAAATAACCTTCTGAGAGAGCATCACTCTTCAGTTCAATTCTGAATTTTGCACATACTTTGCAATGTCATAATTTCACATTAAGCTCCCAGCATTAATATATATATATATATACATATATATATATAAATATATACTCTTGGTTGAATGAGTTAACTCCCACTTAAACCCACCAACACCTGAAACTCTTCTGGAGAAGCTAATTAATTTTTAAAGAAGCATGAAGCTTTATTTAAAGGTAAACTTTAGGATATTGCCAGCAATCCTCCAAACATTATATACATCTGGAATGTAATGAAAATTATATAAGCTGTAGAGAAGTTTGATCTGATGAGGTTACAAAATGCTCTGATAAAACTTCAACATTCATGCAGAAAAACTTGAAGATAAGCTTTATTAAGCCAGAGCTGGAATTGCTCTTAGAAAATAAATACTGAAATGCTTTTACCAACTAAAAAAAAGTAGAGTTATAGGATAATAAAAGTAGAAAAATGAGAAAGACATAGGCAGCTTGAACCATTAGCAATCCTGATGTTACTGAACACTTTATGTTGGCATTCATAGCTTACAAAATGATCCCAAAGCCCATTTTCAGATGATTTTTTTTCTCCTTTCTAAAATTCTGGCTTCCAAATGGTCCCAAGCATGCTATGGCACAGTATTTCTTCTTATACTTACTCCATTTAGTTCTGCCACAAATTTTTAGCAAAACCATGGAGACCTTTCACCAGCAGGTTCAACCAAAAGCTTCTCAGAGCCTCCAGGTGAAAAACAAAAAGTAATTGAGAGGCTTCTATTTCACCAGACAAGTATCAGGGCAGACCCCTTAAAATCAAAACTGATAAAGAAATCACATATAAAGATTATATATGCATATAAATATATATATATAGGAGCACAGATCTCTTTTTCACAGTGTAAGAACGTAGTTTGGCAAACAATACAAGTATCAAAAAATTAATCTCTCTGAATAGTCTACAGGACTGCTGAGGACAATTTAAACCTTTCCTAAAGGTCAGTACTTGTACTCCCAGATCTTTTCTTCCAT